CTTTAACTCAAATCCTTTTTTAAACAGATTGAAAAAAAAAAACAAACAAAAAAAAACAACCCACGACATTTTAGGTGAAACTGTTCAACAACTTAGTTTTGAAAGTTGTTTGGAATTCTGTAACCCAAGAACTGTTTTTAAGGAAAACAAAAATGCCGTGTAACTACAGTTTGTACTTCACCTCTGGCGTTTGAATAAAAGCGAATATTCAAGCAGCGAGAGAGTTGTCATCCCTTACGCCATCCCCAGATATCTGAAGTTTTAGGGGTAGTTTTTGAAGGTTAATTTTTTTAATTAGGCGGAGCGAGAGGCGGGCGGCGGCGGGTCCTCCGGGCCGCCAGGCGGCGCTGCGGCGCCGGGCTGGGGAGCGCGCTGAGGCGGCGTTATGGCGGCGCGCTGAGCGCTGAGGGGGATCATGGCGCAGCCCCCGCCGTTCCCCGCCCGCCTCCCGCCGCCTTTCCGCCCCTTCCCGCCGCCCTTCCCCGGCCCCGCCGCCCGCCCCGCGCCCTTCCCGGTGGGGCCGGCGGCGCCCCCGCCCTTCCTCCTGCCGCCGCCCGCCGGCCCTGCAGTTGAGGCCGGGCCGCGCTTCCCGCCGGGCGGCCCCTACTTGGCGGCGGCCCCGCCGCGGGTCGGGGCCGAGGAGGAAGCGGCAGCGCAGCGGCAGCAGGACGAGCTCTGGCTGTCGCAGTTCCTGGGCCGCCGGCGCGCCGCTCCCCCTCCGCCGCCGCCGCCGCCGCCCACCGCCGCCAACCCCAGCAGCGCCCGGGCCGTGGCGGTAGCCGCGCTGGGGCGGGTGGCCGGGGTGGCCGCGCTGTGTCGGGCCCTGCGGCGGAGCGAGGCCGAGGGCGACGGGCCGGGCTGGGCCCGGGCGCGGGAGGAGGCGGAGGCGGCGCTGAGGGAGCTGCGGGAGGTCGTGCGGCCCCTGCGGGAGCCCGGATACCGCGAGGCGCTGCGCAGGAAGGCAGAGAGGGCGAGGAAGAGGAGGCTGCGCCTTCAGCGGAGGAAGCTCGAGGCCAGGGCGGCCAAGGAGGAGGCGGCGGCCCGGGCCGCCGAGCGGGAGGCCAAGATCGACCAGTGGCGGGCCAAGTGCATCCAGGAGGTGGAGGAGAAGAACCGGGTACGGCCCCGAGCGCCTGGTCCTGCCTCCCCCGGGGGCTCCTGAGTGTCCCTCCGTTTGCAGGGCGGGGTGACCAGCCAGTAATGGTGTCACAGTGGTCTGTGCCTGCCCCACACCCGGCTTTGGGCCCCGCGGGTCAGTGGGTGCCACCGGGGTGCTGCATGACTTCAGCTTGCTTGGAGACATGCCCTTTCCAAGGTCTGCAGCCCTGCTTCTTCCTTGAGAGCCTTGGTGGGCATCTCAGCTTTGCCATGCTCATGTCCTAGCCCTTGACAGTTGAGGTTTAAGTTATTTCTGAACTACTGGAGGTTTTCCTCTCTGGTCCCAAGTGTCAGCCTGCCCACTCTGCTCACAGCTACCCTGTGGTGCTCAGCACCATTTCAGTGTCCATCAGCCTTGCCTGCTGCTTTCGTCCTTCATAAAGCTTGTTGTTTGCAAGCTTTTGGGTCTCATCCAGAAGTAAAATGTCTCCAAAGCAAAAAACCCATCTCAAATTAGTCTTCCTGGAAAGTGCTGTAGGCACTTTGGTTGGTTTTTGTGTTGGTTTTTGGCCAAAGAGCTCCTGTTCTGCTGGTCTGCTGCTGGGATGGTCCAGAGCAGCTGCTGAGGAAGGGTTTGTGGTCAGACTGTGGCAGGTTAATGGTCTTTAATTGGGATTGTTTCTGTTCATTGTTAATGTTTTCCCTAAACTTATGTGGTTAAAGGCTATCAGGCTTTATGAGTTCATTAACCATCCTGGAAGTGTTCAAAAACATGGATGTGGCACTTGAGGACATGGTTTAGTGGTGAGCATGGTGGTGGTGCTGATTTGACAGTTGGACTCGCTGATCTTAAAGGTCTTTCCCAACCCTAAAGATTCCATGATCCTGTGATTTGGTCCAAATTTATGAGTCCCACAGCACTCTTTTTTGTTTTCTGAAGTCTGTGGTGGTTTAGCCTGTTTTTCTTAAAAAGGCAAGGCTGAATGGTTGACTTGTAGCTGTTGCTGTGAAGTGACTGATCTCCAGTGCTTCACTCATCTCTTGGAAAATACCACTTGATTCTTGTCCTCGAGGGATATTTCACACATCATGTCTGTTTTTTTCTCTCACAGGAACGAGAGCTTAAGGCTGCTGCTGACAGTGTCTTGTCTGAAGTACGGAAGAAACAAGCAGACACCAAGAGGATGGTGGATGTCCTGCGTGGGCTGGAAAAGCTTCGGAAACTGAGAAAAGAGGCTGCTGCCAGAAAAGGTTAATTACAAGATTTTCACCCAACTTTTTTTATTGCACACCCAGGAAATAAGATGATGAGGGTGCCCTGTGCTGACTAGCAAGGTGCAGCTTCAAAAAGCTGTGTCTTTATAATGGATTTTAGTTGCAAGAATAGCTGTAAAATGCTGAATTCACAAGTGGTTGTGTTCCTGTTTTTCCAAGGTCACTCTCGATAGAACAATTATTCTGATAAGAATTCCAGCTGTTAACAAGGTTAAGCTCATGTTTCTCTGAGATTTTGCCAGCTCTGCTCTCAAGTCTGATAACAAATCCCCTTCTGAATCTGAAAACTTAAAATCACTTCTCTTTCTCTTCAGGTGTTTGTCCACCCCCCTCAGCAGATGAAGCATTTGAAACTCAGGTGGAGAGTCTGAAAACGTTGCTCAAAACTCGCACAGAGCTGTATGAGGCTGAGGAGAGAGCATTAAGGGTTATGCTGGAAGGAGAACAGGAGGAGGAAAGAAAGAGGGAAATGGAAAAGAAACAGAAGAAGGAAAGGGAAAAACTACTACAGCAGAAACTGGAAATGGATTCCAAGCTGTTTGGGGATCCAGGTAAATTCTGCGTGCCATACTTAACAGTGTTTTTCCACACCACACCCCCATCTCACAGTCACTGAGGTTTGAAATGTAGACACAGAACTAGTTGAGAAAGAAATCCACTGGAGTAATTTATGGTCTGAGAAAAAGGTGGAATAAACATAGTGTGCTGTTAACACCTGTGGTGTAAGAGGAACTGCTCAGCTGATCAGTGTAGACTGCAGCACATCTCAAGGTTATTTCATAATGTTTTGCAAGAGAAGGTTGTAGATTAATCTGAAGTGAGGCTAAATAGAATAGATTGAAGACTTTCAGCACCCAACAGATGCTTTAGTCTGGTGATTTGGTGTGACTCAGGTAATCTGTATAGATTCAGTGTCCATATGTTCCCTTTCTTTAGAGGATAGAGGCAGGAAAAGTTTTGGTAGTCTTGGCTTTCCTCTGACAGCTCTGGTACAGACCAAGATATGTGTAACATGTAAATAGTCCCTAATATATTACATAGGGACCTGATTTCAAGTTACAGCTGGGCACTAGCAAATGAGTTGGCAAATTTGGGGCTTCTAAGACTCACTAGAATCAAAGGTTTTTCTGGATTATTGAACAATTTCTGTTTCTGTGTTTTCACAGCTGAATTCCCACTTGCCCATCTATTGCAACCCTTCAGAGACTACTACTTACAAGCTGAGCATTCTGTAGCAGCTCTTATCCAGATCAGGTAAAGCCAAACAAAGTCTTTATTTTTTTGTCAAAGATGACAAATACTGTTTGTTGAGATTGTAAAATCAGCATCCCTTTTGGTTTGCCAACTTCCAAATTTGGTTATGCAATAGATTGTGCTGTTTTTTTCAAGATTTTTGCTTGAGTCATATCCAACAGATGCTCGTGTGAGGCAGAGCGCACTTCATGCATAACTATTCCATTTAACAGCAGTACATTCGATTTTTACATTTGTCTTTTGATAGACAAGTTTCAGAGTACAATTTATAGTGGTTTGTGTATCGATCAGTGTGGAAAAACACTTCTGTGGGTATATTATAAATCTTACCAGCTGTCCTCTCAACACTCTCTCTGTTAAAGGCATGAATGGGATCAGTACTTGGTGCCAGCTGACCACCCCGAAGGAAGCTGCATCCCTCCAGGATGGGTTCTCCCCAGTCTCCCCACCAATGACACTTGGGCCACTGCTGTCAGATGATTTGGTAATAAATTATGTTAACGTTGGAGGATTGTTTCATTAAAATTACATGTGTTAAATATGAGAGGGCCCGAAGAGGAAGTCTCATCCTCTCTTTCGGCAGCCAGGTACTGGAATGTCTTTACTGGAATGTCTTGAAGAGAAGTTTTAAGAACTGTTTTTGCTGTCTGACTGTGCAGGGAGATATCTGAGCAAGCCCAGAGCTGCCAGGCCTCTCATGGTGTGGAATTACAGTCCCGCTGCAAGTTTTTGTTAAATCTCAGTCTTAATAAAGGAACATTGCTGACAGTGGTATTTGTGCCAGTATTAACATCCTATTTTTAGTGGCTTTTATCTTTATAGAAGATGATGAAATCTCCAGAAATAAAGAAATACTAAAACATATATATATACACATCATTAGTAAACATATTATTCTTCTTAAATGAAGCATGTCAAGTATCACTGTCAAAATAGTTCCTGTATTTTTGGGTGTAGAAACAACCCTATTATAAGTTTAAACAAATTCTGAAGTACAAAAAAGACAAGGTTTTTCAAGGTTGATTAGAGCAGCTGTTGACATTTTACTTTTGTGGACTAAAACTGGTACCACAACATGGAAAAAATTCCCAGCTGTGGTGAAATAGGTCAGACAACCGTGTGAATAGACACAAATTTGATGAATAAGCCTGCTGGAAAAAAACCCAATAAAATCTGAAGTCTGTCCTACTGTAATTGTTTTGCCTATATAGCTATTTTTGTATAAGGACACATCATGTCTGTAATATTTGATTACAAAACACAGCTCTATTTTGTAAGTTGTTTTTTTTGTACAGAATAAATAGAGCAAAATGGATATTTTTTTTTTTCGTTTGAAGCACTTTTACTCCGAGGGAGAGATTTGTTTGAGTACTTGGCATCAAATACAACTCCAACATGGAGAGAATTGCTGGGAAAAGGTTTGTGTGAAGGAACTTCTCCCTCCTACAAGGTGACAGAGGCATCTGATGTCAAAGCCGTCCATGTTCTGGACAGTTTGCTTGTGACAGTGACGGGCCATATGGATTTGGGGCTTTGCTGGGCTATGCAGATGGTCGTGACACCTTTCCAGAGCTGCAGACCTGATTCTTGCTTAGCCCCAGTGTGTGGGAATCGAGTTAATCTCCCCAGTGCTTTTCCTCTTGGCGTCACAACAGCGCGTCATCCATGGAGGAGGCGACGTCATGGCCTAAATTCCACCCTTGGGCCTTATGTGATATGTTAATAGTTTATTGGCTGAAGCTTTGCACTGGTTTCTGTTAGTAAGAGCACACAAACTAGTAGTTTTTAATAGAATTACTGTGAGTGCAGAAGTTTGCAGTTCTTGCTCACCTGCAGCACCCCAAAATACAGATTACCAGGAAGTCCTTTGGAGGTGGAGTTCTGATTTCCTCCTCCATACATCCCCCCTGTCAATTCCAGCATCTCAGTACTCCAGACCCAAGGCTGAGTCAGATCCTGGGGAGTCTTTCCTGATGAAAATGCACAAGTTTAAATATAAAAATAAAAACAATTGCATAAAAACAATACAACTCTGACACTTCCAGTTCAGGAAGCTTAGTGACCGGAGGATGCTCTGCTTAAACAATTAGGCTCCTTATCCCGTCAGTGCGTCTGAGGGACAGGCCAACCACTTAAGCTACGATTATCTTAAAACTGTCCAAGTCAGCTGCTTGTCTGACACTGCAGGAATTTAAAGAGCTGAGCAGTAGATAAGCAGGCAGTGGAGCAGCAGCCCTGTTCTCCCTGCCCTGCGAGGAGAGCTCCATGAGTTCATCTGACGGTAAGGATAACTTCATCTTATTGATAAACACAGGGCTTGAAAATGCCAGGGGATGATCTACCTTTAGGTATATTTCCATCCCTCAAACTTTCTGTGGTTTGTTTTGTGTATTTGTTCTTGTCTAGCAATGTGTGCATTAAAATGTTTTATATCTTTAGTGGGGAAGATAGGAATGTTTAAAATCTCAACTCATAAAATACGTGGAGACAGAGTATTCTTAAAAGTTGTTGTCTTCATGTTGAAGAGTCAGATTTGTCTAAGTATAGTATTTCCTACTGTCTTTAAGTTTTAAAAAATTACTATAGTCCAGAAGAAGACAGGGGTTGGCTATGTGTTTCCAAGGCTCCTTTGCATCCTATTCCTCCACTGGTCCCGCTGCAGTTCAGGTTTCTCATGTTAAGGCACATCCTCTTCCTGATGTGAGCTGGTTTGTGCACTGGCCAGTGTCTGTGATGTGAAAGTGGGCAGGGCTGGTGTGGGGTACAAGCTCAGAGACCTTCTAGGAGTTGCCTTCTGGTGTGAGTTGGTGTTTAGGACTGACCATCTTTTATTCTTGTCTAGTAGCAGTTTTCTTGTCATCACACCCACCCCAAAGGACTTCTTGTTTTCTAAACTGGGAATTAACACTTGTGGGTGCCTTTCTTAGAGAACAGTATTTATGCAGTGAAATACAGCTGGTACCATCTTCATATTTTCTTCATCCTCATACCTGAAAGTGGCATTTGAACCCAAGTGAAGCCATTCTGGGTGACAGATGTTGAGACACAACTTTCCTTTGCACCTTATACACAGAGATTTTGGGAAGAGCCAGTCTACAGCATAAGCTGCAGAGAGGGTCTGTCCGCCTTGCACACAGGGGCCGTGCTTGGAGCTGCAGAAAGCTGGGAAAGGTGGTTTTGCCTGCAGGTCTTTTCATGTGTTGTCTTTGTCTGTGCTGACGTGGATTGTCCCTTGGGCTGAGCCCTCTTAGGCTGGAGCAGATGGTCTGGCTCCATGAGGGCTCCCCACACGTTGCCTGTGTCATGTCTTAGTGGCAGGACATGTGCAGGAGCACAAAGCTTGTTAGGGGCTCTGCTTGGGCAGAGGTATTAAAGGCTCCTGGCGTAAGCAGGCGAGAGACAACCCTGTTGTCATTCTGATAATGACCAGCTGAGTTGCACTGAGTGATTGTGTGTGTCACTCATGTCTGTTTGTGGTCTGGAAACAATTTCTTAGTCCTCTGCCAACATAAGAAACTACTTTGAATCCCATTTCCCCTTATAGACTTATTTTTGCATTAAACATGCAGTTTTTTCATCCTTGTATACATTCATCTGAATATTTCCTTTTTTGTGGAGTGTTTATCCTCATTGTCTAAAAAGCTGTTTTAAAAGGAAAAAAATAACTGGGAGAAGCACTTAGGGATGTCACACACATATTTACAGTGTATCCTGAGGATGGGGTGTCACACAAGTATTTACTGTGTGTCCTGAGGATGACTGCTGAGGACTTTGGGATGAGCAGGCACAGGCTGTGTGTGCCAGGACTCGTGGGGAGACTGGCCACCAACTCTTAGCAGTTGATAATCTGTAAAAGAAATAATTTTGCATGCTGTCATCACTGGGAAGCTCGAGGCTTCATGCAGCAGTAGAGGCTTTTTACTAAATTGAGACATCTGCAGAGAGCTGATGGCGACGCTGTTGCAGTAATATTTTCCATGCCACCATTCCCAATTAATCAGAAACTTTTCTCTTCTCTGCAGTCCTGCTCTAAAACCATCACCACACTTAAAATGAGTAGATGGTTCCTAAAAGCTAATCTGGCCTTAAAATGGCTTGTTTGACATCCCCCTAACTGTTAGGTTTGCCTCATGCACCAGCCTCCCAGCCTGGCTCCTGACAAGCTGCTGAGGTGCCAGAGGGAATGTCCTCCCTTGGGATGCTCCGTGTCATGGCTTAGCAGCACGTGGCTGTGTGCATGAGCTCTGTCAGGTTACACAGGGAGAGGAGACCTGCAAGGTGTCCTCCTTGGCTGTGGTTTCTCCCTCTGTAACTGGAAAAAGTGCTCAGTGTGTCCCCAGCTTGGGGAAGGGATCATGCAAAGGGCAGCAGAGGGAGGGAGAGGCAGGAGGGATGGAAAGTAGCAGGGCATGCATGGAGGTGGAAGTGGAGAAGAAAAATGCTCAGGATCTCTGCCAAAGAAAGCTGTAAGCTTGGTCAGGTCCTGCTGGCTCAAGCTGAGAATAGCAAAGGTTAGTTCAGACAAATCTTCCCAGTGTCAGTAAATAAGATTTTACCTATCTGGGCAATGCACACAGTGGTTTTTACTTGGCTGGCTCTTGAAAAAGCTCATCTTCCTCTCCTTCCACCCAACTTGAGAGGTGCTAGTCCTACCTTTTACAGTTCTGTTTCCTCCCTTGCTCCAGCAGCAAGAAATCAGGCAGGAGTGATGAGCTACCTGGATGAAGTTCCCTTCCGGATGGCCCTGAGCCTCGATGGGGACTCAGGGGGAGAAATCCCCTTAATCACCGCTCCGGACATCGAGGTCCCCGACTGCACCGACATCCTCATGAGCACCATGGTGAGTCCACACCCAGATCACTGCTGGGGGATGCTCAGAGGGATGTCAGTGGTGCTTTCCTTTTCTTAGGAGAGAAGGGGCACATCCTAATTGATCTCCTCTTACTTGACTGGTTTGCAGCAGTACTGGGAGGAGAGGATGATTTGTGATATGTGGAAGTGAGGAAGGGGTTGTTTTGGGATTGCTTTTTAAAAATCCTGTCCAAGCAGGAGGCTTGGGTCTTTCCGGGATGGGAGGACAAACTTCTGCTCTGGGGTTGTCTTCTACTTTGGAATTATCACTGTCTCATTTATTAATAATATTTATTAAATATCAATAAATTTAACAGATATAAGCAGGCAATATTACCTGTACTGACAGCATATGCATAATTTATATATGTATGTAAATTTTTACATATATATATACATATATTTATATATATATATAAATATTTATATATATATGTATATAAAGTATCCCGTGTTTCTCCCTAGTTGGGATGCATTGATGCTCCCCGCCAAGGCCAAGCAAGATTATGCTGTTGCTTCAGGCTGATCCTTCTGGAGGGACGTGGGGGTGTTTTCCTTAGGGAGGCTGGTTTGGGTCCACAGATGACCCAAGTGGCAGGAGCAGTAAAAACAGCATTCCTGGGCTGTGAATGTACTTGCCTGCCCATCCAGAGGAGACCTTGTTTGGAGAGCTCTGGGACAGGCAAGGCTTGTTTGTTCCAGGAAAATCCTCAGATTTCAGTCACAAACAAGCTTATATTTTAAGACAGACTATGTGGAAATGACAACTCTGTTTGGGGACCAGCCGAGCCCCTGGCGCCACAAAAGACTCCCATGGCTGGTCCTGCCACTGCCTGAGGTGGCATCACCCTCCTTGGTGGGTCCAGAGCCCCTGTGCCTGAAGTGCCACTAATGAGAGCCACAAACAAACTCTGCCACCACCCTGGGGGCAGCCTGTGGCTGGATGCAGTGCCTCTCTGCAGCTGCCTAAAATTAGGATGCCCACATCCCCTGTCTGCACCCTCCCACCTTCCACAACAGCCAAAGTGACACAAAACCACCTCTAAGTATAAAACACTTCTCAGAAGAATTGTAGGTACAACTCACAATAGTAATAACTTTATAGAGGGACTTTTTTCAAGTGTAAATTTGGGGATTCCCTGTAGGGATGAGGCTGGCACGGCCCAATCCTGCAGCCAGCCCTGATGCTCAGGGAAGTAGGATCTGATATGGGAAGGCTGCAGCCCTTAAGCTGCCTCGCAAAGCGCATGGTTTGCTCAGTGCCACGTGGTCTGGTTTCAGGTGTCCTCACCAACTGCCTCTCGCTCTTCCACAGCACGACTTCTCCCTGGAAAGGAAAGTGCTGTACTGGGTCGAGGTGGCCTCTCAGCAGCAAACCTGCCGACACCGGGTCACCTCCGAGGTCGTCCCCACGGCCCCGCCGTGCTGGCTGCTGCTGGTGGACCCTGCTGACAGCTACGGGGGCCGGGCTCGGGACGTGGCAGTGCGGCGCTCCATCAGCATGAGCGCCGCCGACACCTCCTACGGGCATGACACCGAGAGCGAGACCTGGCACTCGGAGGAGGGCGACTGCTCGGACGATGAGTACTCCTCGACCTCCCTGGAGGAGAATGACAAGGATGAAAAGCTCCTCTCCAGGAGGAGAAGCTCTGGGAGAAGCATGGCTTCACGTCTCAGCTTTTACCAGACCCGACCAAAGACATCACCTTGCTTGTTGGAGCCCTCACCAGAGAACAATGTCCACAGCCCAGCCAGCCCGGACCCCAGCAAGCAGAGAAGATCCATGGTGATATTTAACAACATGAAGAATGAGCTGGAGGCAGCCAGGAGGAAGCTGGCTGCTCTGGTGCATCCTTTGAACAGAGCTGCCACGGGGGGCAGGGGGATCCCAGTGCCACGGCTGCTCCCACAGTGTCCCGGCACCAACCGCAGTGTCAAGTACGGGCCAGCCCAGGACGTGTCCCAGCTGGGGACCTTGGTGCCAACTCCTCCTGCCACACCTGCACCAATCCCACCCATCAAGCGGCACAAACCCACAGTGCCGGTGAGCTGCTGCCTTTGCTTGGTGCTGAGAGAGGAGGGAGGTGGAGGGTGTTGAATTGGTCTCATTTGCCGGAGACTGGGCAGCAAAATGGATTCAAAACGGGACTTCAGGAACACTGGACCCATGAAAAATTACTGATGAGTTTTCATAAGAAGTGAAGGCAGGGTTTCTTTTTTCCTCTGAGGTTGTGCATGTTTACTTGCTCTGTCCAAATCAAAACACCCCTGTTTTTCCCAACAAGCGGGGTCTTATTTGATTATCAATTGAAACACTAAAAAAAAAAAAAAGAGTGAAATAACAGGGGTTTTCCCCTCTTTTCTCTCTATTACCCCCCTCTTACAGATATAGGTGAGGTTTATAGGGAAATGCTCCTTTACAGCCATCATGTCTTTTCTAGGAAACTTTGGACTTCATAGTCCTACTAAAAATACAAATCATTGGTGAAAGAGGGATGTGACAGGATGGAGTAAATATCACTCTGTCACCTTGAATCTGAATTGCACCATGTTTTTTAAGAAATCACATCTCATCCAGCTACTTGAGAGATTTTAGGAGATGAATTACTGAAAACCTACAATTAAAACCATTGGACACATGAATGACCAGGTTATTTATAGGCAGTTGTACTAGACATGGGGTAATTAAGGAAAGATTAAATGCCTGTGTGTATTTGTACATCACCCAGCCTGAGCACTCTTTGATCTGATCTGTATCTATAGCTGAGCCTGGATTTAATTAAATCCAGTCTCCTTTGATGCCCGTTGGATGTTCCATGTATAGGAATTTTCCTCTTCTGGAGACAGCAAGGTAACTGCCGGTGTTCGAAAGCGTTGCTTCAGCCTGAGTGTTTGACATCATCCCATGAGCTGAAGCAATAAGACCCTCTTCTGTTTTTTCCTTGCAGTCTCTCAGCCCCTACACCTGCCTCCCCCCTGCCTGCACGCCTGGGAGACCCCTCAGCTCCCTCAGATCTCAGCCGGATTCCTCGGCTGACCTGCTTTCTGCTCTGAGCCAAGAGGAGCGAGACCTCATCGAGCCCGTCATAGCCCTGGGCTACCCCACGCACAAAGCCATCCTCACCCTCCAGAAGACGGGAAGGCAAAGCTTAAGTCAGGTTGGTGGAGCTGGCGCGGCACCGCCGGAAACCTTGGGTAAAGGAAAACTTGATTTTCCTGGAGAAAGGGATGGCTGTCTTGTTTGGGGTGGATTTCTGATTGCCTTGGCTCTCCCACTTTGTTGTCAGACCACAGCTAACAGGCTTTTCCATGAGATCAGACTTTTGCAGTAATAAAATAGCAATGAGTTGCCCTCAGCTTTTCAGCATGTAATCACGGCTGGTTTCGTTATCTGTTCAATCTGTTGTGTGGAGCTTCATGTCCTTCTGAGGTACAAATTTTGCCCCCATACATGGAAACTTTTTGCACATCATTTTTTCCCAGCTGTTGGATTTGTGTGATGATTACCATGGTTTATCCTGTCAGAGCAGGACTGTACGAATACCTCAAAGATTTGACTGGGCTCTCTCCAAAACACAACTTTCCTGTCTTGCAGCAAGCAGAGAATCCATTGCAAGGGGGTCCCAGAACTTTTTTCCTCAGGAACCCTCTATAATAACCTGGAATTTATTGAAAACATTTAACATACAGACTCTTCCTACCCCTGGTGTCTGAGTACATCCTTGCCTGCAGTGCTGCGTCCCCATTCCTGAGGTCTCTGCTTGTGCAGATGAATCCCACAATGGTCCAAGGGGGCCTTGGAGCATCCATGACATGAGGGATGCTGCTGGCTCTGACTCCCTTGGCAAGCTTGGGACTGGACCTGTTCATCCCAGCAGAGGATTTTAGGGCTAAATTACCCAAGTAACTCTTGCAGAGAGAGAAGGGGCTTAATTGAAACTCATCAAGAGGGATGTCCATGAAGCTGTCATGCCAGAGAGCAGGAGCAGATCCTGGCAGAGGCATGAGCAGGCACAGTGCCAAGCAGCCTGTGCCGGGTGCCAGTCTCCTTCCCATTCCCCTGGGAGCTGCCTGTGCTGCGTGGGCCAGCTCCCACCCGCCTGGTCGGCGCACGAAGCTGCTCTGTGCCTGAGTCATCCTGCAGCTCCCAGCTCCCTCCTGAGTCACCCCAGCTGGACCAGCCCCCCCAGACCTCGCTGGTGTTTCAGGAGAGCCGAGGTGGGAAGGGAAGATTGTGTCCTCAATTCATGGAGGTTTCATCCAGGCAGAGGGAGATGGACAGAGCCCAGCCCACATTCTTTGCACAGAGCCGTGAGAGGGTGTCTTTGGCTTCAAAATGAAGAGACAGTGCATCTTTTTAAGGATGGAAGTGGGTACAGCCTGCTCCCTTCTGTATAAACACTGGGACTCCCATTCCCTTGGAGAAGAGATTCCTGCACCAAAATACAAGATCTGCCTTATATCCTGTGCCTGCTTCACCAGCAGATTCTATCTTTCCCATTTATGCCCAATGCAGCCAAGATAAAATGTAAAGCCTGACCTTTTGTGCATCTCTTACAAGTACAAAACTACCAAATTAGGCTAAACTTTCCTGCAAAATATGTTCCAACTGAAGTTAAAAGAAGAGCTGTGGGTGCTCTTCATTGCTTGCTGTGTCATGCAGGGTTTCAGTGTGTGATGACAACAACTTCAACTCTGAGGATTGATTGTAGTACCAGATGGTAGACAAAAATTGTTCAACTTCTTTGCAGTGTCAACTCAAAACTGGCAAAGCCCACCTTGGTAGAGAAGGCAAGTTTGTGGCCTTAAAGAGGCGATCCCTTCTGAGTTTTGGCAGAAGAACTTTTCTGAAAGGCTCAAGCAGGGTTAGTTACCCCAACATGCCAGAGGTTCATCATGTTATGGCCAAGGGCTCAACCAAAAATGCAGCATTGCATTTTGCTCAATGATCATTGATCAATTCAAAATGCATCCTCGATCCATGGAGCCCTCGATGTACCTGTGAGCTGAGACATGACAGAGGCTGCAGCTGCTCAGCACTCATCTCCCCAGGCAGCTGTAGGCACAGGGCAACAGTGTTAAAAAACTTCTTCTTGAGAAGAAAATTATAAAAACCATTGAGTTGACAATGGCACCGATTTCATGCTGGGCTTGACCAGGCTGCCAGGACTGTCTGTGTTGTGCCGTGAGTGAGCAGCTATTCCTACCACAACAGAGCAAGAAAGTACAGCAATGAGTTGGGGTTGTCATTGGTCAGGTAACGAGGAAAATAAAATCAGGTTAGGAATGCCAATGACCAGTGACTGTCTCCTCCCTGAGTTACTGAGCTGCTCCTTAAGGCTGACATTTCTAAAAATCCTTACTCTGCTGTTCAGCCAAACTAGATCAGCTCAACATTTGAGGGACTTTTTTGCCTTTTTCATGTGTTTTGTGGTCTTTTACTGAGTCCTTCCCCTTGGCTAGGGTGGTGCTGGGGAGGGTGGAGGTCTGTGCACTGGTGGATCTGGGGAAGATATGAATCAGTTTCTCCTTGGATGAAGATGGCACAGCTCTGGGGAGACCCGTGGGATGTTTTTATTCCCCCTGCTATTGTATAGCTCATTTATCATTGTCTGTCCCATATGTTTTTGGACAGTGAGTGATTCTCGCGGTATTTAAAAGATGCTGCTGGGAATTGTGCTGTCAGCACTCCAAGAACAACGAGGAAAGCCAAAAATAACTGTTTACTTTCAGTAATGGCAGCACACGGGTCTCCCCTGGGGTAGGTTTTGCGCTCGGACCCTGGAGCAAACCCAGGGGTGCCTGAACCCCGGAGCATCAAAGGGATGTGGGGTTGGCTGAGGGTGGACATCCCACCGGGACAGGCTCTGCCTCACCCACAGCTTGGAGGCCACTGCTCTGTATCTCAGAGGTTCAGATGTTTGGTTTGCTCCTCATCCTCCCTCTGCCTTGTTCCCATTCCCACCCTGGGAGGGTGAGAGGGACCAAGATGTTGTCATCTCCCACTGGGAATCGTGGACAGACAGACCACCCCGGCTGAGCATCAGATGGGAAACAGCAAGATGGTGTTGCTGATGTACTCCCCATGGTGTATCCCTGGTTGGTGTCAAGATGGTCCTGTTTGCCCTCACTCTCTGTGCCAGCAAGGCTGGATTAACCTGGTTGTCTTCCTCTGCAGTTCCTGAGCTACCTGGGTGCCTGTGACCGGCTGCTGAAGCAGGGCTACGAGGAAGGGCAGGTGGAGGAGGCCATGGAAATGTTCCAGTACTCAGAGAAAAAGGTCAGAGTGGGATGGCACAACCCAGCCCTTTGTGCTGTGTCCTCCGGGCTCGCTTTTCCAGCGGGCTATACCCTTCCCTCCACTTCCACTGCCCCTCATGGGGGTCAGACCCACTGCCTTGCCACCAGCGGGACCCCCATAAGGACCCTCTGGGAAAGGACACCTGCTCAATCCCCTTTTCCATCCATCCTCTCACCCCGTTGTGCAGCACAATGCTCGTTCACCCACTGTGCAGGGAATCCCATCCCAAGCCCACCAACACCTGCTCTTGCTCCCTCTCTCCCAGCTCCCCTCCAGGGAGAAAAACTGTGGTGACACACTGGGCATTGGTCTCCATCATCAGTCTCCTCCTGGGTAATGAAGAGCCTGGAGAGGTGGAACTGCTTGGAGTCTGGGCTGACAGTGTTTGCTGGGATGCCAACGGCCCATAGTATTGCTCGTTAGGCAGTGACAGCAGGGGCTGCCCAGGTCTCGGTGTCAGGGAAGGTTTATTTATTGAGGATACGGCTCTGGGTGATGTCATGGCACTGGGGCCCAGCCTGAGCAAGGAGGGAAGCAGGACAAATGAATTCCAGCTTGTGCTCACTGCATCTCCCTGCTCTCTTTATAATGCAAACACTGCATGGAATTGATGCAAACTTTATAAGGAATAAGTGAAGCTGGAGGCTGACTTTAATATTAAATATTTCTTATTTAAGAAGTTGAAATGCTACCAGGGGTATGTGTGTCCTCGGGCTGCTGTTGTGGTGCCCTTTGGCGGTGACACAACCCAGCCAGGGCGTCTGGCTGCAGCCTTGTCCCACAGCACTGCTTCTGCTGCAATCCCACGATGGATCCATCCATGATAACATCATTCCCCTTTCTTCCTTCTTCCTCCAGGCGGCTGAATTCTTGCATCTCTTGGCTCAGTTTAACGATATGGGTTTCCAGCAAAATGAAATCAAAGAAGTTCTTTTGCTTTGTGGGAATCAGAGGGAGAGGGCGCTGGAAGAGCTCGTGATGAAAACCCACTGAGCAGCACCCTGGACCCATCACAGCTTCCCCTCTCCAGACTGGACCAGAAGCACTCGGGTGGTTCTGCTGCTCCATCCCCACCCCTGGAAACAACCAGTCACAGACCTTCACAGCTCTTCCTTGATGTCTCATCTCATTTTATGGACATCCATCATAAGAGTGTTTATCATTCAGGCACCGACTTCATAGGAGGAATATTTATCTCCTCACCCACACGTCCCCACCCTGATCATCTCAGCTGTTCAGATTAGATGAAATAAGATCCAAACCGCCTTCAGCTTAGATTTTTGCAAAACCCAAACCACAGTGTTCTCCCTCCACCTGGGGTGATGGGTGTCATGTTTTCAGCTACAATCAAATGTGGATTCTTAAGAGATTATATAAATCATCAGAAGAAATTGTTTTCCTAAAATCTGAAGGAACATGTGTTGGTCCTGGCTTGGTAAGAGTCTCAGATGACTTAGTCGTGGTTGAATATTGTAATTGAAATCAAGTTTGATCACATTAGCTTCTCCTTTTAAACCAGAAATGTGAGAAAAATACACAGTTCTGTGAGGGTAAGGAAAGAAAACAGGCTGCCCTTGCTCTGAAATACATGAGGTTGAATGCAAAATGGTGGAGGTAAGGGTTTGTCCTCAGGGAACTTCCTGAAATCGGAACAGAGAGACGGGGAACTGCTCACTGCCCTCATGCTCTGCCCAAATCAGGAAAATTCAGGGGATGCTTCCCTAAACTGTGAAGACAGTGGCTCCAAATGAAGTTAAGCATGAAAGTCAGCATTGGGAACATCTGGATACTCGGGGGAATTTCTGTATGTAACTGAAGGACAGAGAATGGGATGTGTGTCTTGGCTTGGCAGTGGAACAGTGGACAGTGTTTTCACATAAAGTATGTTATTTTCCTGTGAATTAGATACAGATGTAATTTCTTTGAGTAAAGATGCTTGGGGGGGTTCTTCTGCAATGTGTTTGTGTCTTTTCCTGTCAGGATGCCAACTGGCACAACCCAGCAGAGAAAATCCTTCGTTAGTTGCATTAGTACCATTTTTCCATTGTATCCTTCCAAACAATCTCTCAGTCTAACATACTGCCATTGAGGTAAAACACTGTGTCCCTTTTCCCTGGATCTCCAGGTGGATGCCAGACACCAGCAGGAAGGTACATCTCTCCATGGCTGCCTTCATTCTTGCCTGGATGTGCAAGGAAACTTGGCATCCAAGTTTTGGGGGACTTGACCCATCCATTCCCAAGGAAGCTTTATTCCTGCCCTTCTTTAATGGCATTGAAACAGAAAATGTGGTACCTTGTGTGACCAAGGGAGATACCCCAAGGAGCTCACAGGCTCTTCCTGGAGCTCCCAGCCCTGTTTTTGCTCCAGCTTTCCCTTGGTTATACAAGCTTTTATTTTTGATGCGGCCCTTATAAGGCAAGTCCATTCTACAGACAGCTTTTCTTTATGTCCCCTCTTGCCAAGATGATGTCACCTTAAAAAAGAAACTTGAAAAAGGTTAAACTGTGATTAGGACGATCGTGTCGCCCGGAACTGTGATCTTTGGCGGAATGAACCCCTGAGGATGGAGAGGGGGAGATAAAGGTGCTGAGCCGGTGCCAGCGGCGCGAAACGTCGAGGGCTGAATTCTGGTGGAGGGAAGCACATTGGCAGCGTCGTGCCCCCAAAGGCTGAGCAGCCTCTCACCCTCCTTAGAGGAGCCTCCTTGACCCTGGCTCATCTTTTCTTGCGGAGGTAAGAGCTGTATCTTTTGTGCTCCCTTTGCACCTAAAATTATCTTGTGTTACTCTCTGTATCACGGTCTGGATTGATGGATGCAAAAATGACTCCTCTCTTGGGTTATACGTGCCATACTCAACAGCCTGCCAAGACCTGCGCTTTCCCCCAAGCGCTGCACTTAAAATCTTTTGCATTTTGTCTACAAATATCTTTGTAAACCCCTGAACTATCAAAAAGCCAGCGAGTGGAGGTGGGGAGGAGGTTCTATCACTTGGTGTTGGATCTGGAGGGAAGGGGAGAGCCTGCCAAGTTCAGCAGTCCAGGGTTGGCCACAGGAGCCCAACATAAATATTTTACTAACAGAATTATTTTAACTTTATTTTAATGGAGGTTTAAGCTGTTTGTTCAACCTGAAATGGTTTTAAAGCAGCATGTTTCCATATGCTGCTTTCAGTTAGGAGAAGACAACCTGAAATGTTAATTGGCTTTATCTGGGAGGGGAGTGAGGATTTGACACGATGGGTTCCTGTAACATCCTCCCGGGGACACCAACACAATTCCTCTCATGCTGCCCATGGTGCAGAGGTGGGGGAGGTCCCTCGGTGACCTCTGCCTCCCCTGTGCCCCTGCCAGACCTGCACCTCCAAGGGCTGTGGTCCCATCACAGGTGACAGTGGAGTGGTAGCCTGGCCCAGTGGCGGGGAACAAATGAGGACAAGGCACATCCATCTGGCCATGGTTGCAAGTTGGGGTTTTCTGCTTTGTTTTGGTTTGTGGTTGCATTGAGTGGGTTTATTCTCAAATGAGGGAACTGTTTTGAAAATGCTGAGAACTTGGCGAGGGTCAGCACGGAGGTATTTGAGGCATCCTGGCTGGTATTCCCTTCCGCTCCATCCCAGCCGGGACAGCACAGGCAGCCCAAAGCCTGACCCACTGACAGGAGACCAGCTGACCACAGTCTGGGTTTGCTGCTGCCCTGGTCCCCCAGCGCTGTGGTTGCAGAGGGGAGCTCTGTGCTCTCCAGCCATCCCCAGAGCTGGTGCTGAGGGTCAGCAACCTTCCACTCCAGGCAGTGGGATCTCATGGGAACAGCTCCTCTGACTTTGGAGCTCTGCAAGCCTGGCATCACCATGCAATGGTAGTGCTCCCTCCCTTTTTGTACCCTCTGTACTTCCAAGTTTTGCCACGTCCTCAAAAGACCCTGTCTTGGTTCAAACAAGCCTCTGACAAGAGCCGGCACTTGCCACCCCTTTGGGTCTGCGCTAGGGCTTGGGGGGATAATGGATGGTTTCCAGGTCCCAGAAAACCCTCAGTGCATTAAGCACCAATGCCCAGGAGCTGCTTTCCTTTACCCCCCATCTCCCCTCCTCCTCCCAGGACCCTGTTGTGGCCATGGAGATATCCCAGGGGAGCACAGGGCTGTGTGGGAACCACACTCCCACATACGGCTCTGAAATGGAGCTGCAGCTGAAAAAGCATTCAGGGGCAGGAGTGAGTCCTGACGTGGATCTCTGTTAGGAGGTATTATCCTTCAGAAGGAGAGGGGGGGAAACCAAACCCAAGAGTAATGAAAACTCAGTATGAGAAGCTTTTCTATAGCTTTCCTTTTAATTCTGGGATAGAATGAATGATTCCCCATCAGGGAAAAGAGGAGGTGGAGTCCTGCACACCTTCAGAGTGTACTCAGAATAAATAAACCCCCTGTTTGCACCTCTCTGGTACCTGTCCTCTGCAGAAGCCACGAAGCCGCTCACACAGTTGGCTCATGAGCCCATGTCTGGCTTTGCACCCGTGCAGAGCAGGCAGGGGCAGCAGCAACTGCCTACAGTCCCTTCCCCTCTGGCAGGGTCTAGTGTCACCTCCAAGGTCCAACATGAGGCATCCCTGGACCTGAGCACAGCTCCATGGAGGAGGAGAGGAGCCCAGGGGAGCAGCAAGTGCAGAGCCATGTGCAAGGAGAGCATCCTGACATGGGATGGGGACCACCTACGTCGCGATGTCATGGTCACGTCTCGGCAGCCGCAGGAGGAAGGTCTGCAGGGAGCCACTGCGCGGGAAACCTGCCCGCTCCTTCTTTTGTTTCCAAGTCTCCTCTTCCACGGAGTAGAGGAGTGTCAGCATCTTGTTGACGGTGTAGATGGTGTCCCCCCTGACAACAGCAGTGAACAGGGCTCCCTTGCTGTTCAGGAACTGCCCAGGCAGGGCCGTCCACTGCCGCGATGTCAGGTTGAAGCAGTCGATGACACAGCGCAAGAAGTCATCGTAGGGGCCATTGCGCATGACATAGAGGTTGTCACGGTGGGCCACCATGCAGTGCCCGTAGCTCTGGTGCCGCTTGAGCTCGGTGACAGGAAGCCACTCGTCCCGCTGGGTCTCATACTCGTAGATGACAGTGGTGTCCAGTGGCTGCCACAGGCAAACAAAGATCTGCCCCAGGGCTTGGGCACAGGGCGCCGCCGTGCTGGGCTGCGGCAGGTCGGAGACAAATGTCCAGGTGCTGGAGGCCACATCGTACCTCTCCACGGACTTGAGTGAGATCTTCTCATACTCCCCCCCGATGGCGTAGAGGAAGCCCTCGTGGCCCACCAGCCTGACATCGTAGCGCAGCTGGTGAGGGCTGGGGAACTCGCTCCAGGCATTGGCATCAGCATCATAGCAGAAGCTGCTCTCCACCACCTGCTTGTTGGCCCCGTAGACGCCACCCACGATGTAGATCTTATTATCCATGGTTGCCATGCCGGCTAGGAATGTGCTGGCGCTCAGCGGCAGGCAGGAGAGGGTCCTCCACGTGTTGGTCTCCTCGTCCAGGTAGCAGATGGTCCTGGACAGGTCCTCCAAGAACTCGAAAGTGGGCGTGTGGGCTCCCACTGCCACAAAGGTGCTGGGCAGGAGGGCTTCCACATAGGCCAGCAGGTCATCAGAGAGGCAGTCCAGATACTCCTCCAGCTCAGCGTAGCTGTCCCTGATATAGAGAGCAGCACAGTGGAAGAGATCCAGGAGGCCGAATATGGCAGCGGCTTGGTACAGCAGGATGCAGTTGTCGGAGTTGATGGAGTGGATCAAGTACTTGGCCAAGGGCTTCACCTGCAGGAAGGCAGCACACTCCACTGCCTGGAGGGTCTCCTCGCTGCCAAGGATGGGCCTCTCACCCTCCAGCACCCGCAGCATGGCGAGGAACCCGGCCGCGCTCAGCTCCCCCAGCCCGATCTCCTCCTGCGTGCTCTCCCTCATGCCCGAGCGGAAGAGGGCACGGAAGTACTCACTGCTCTCCACCAGCAGGGTCTTCTCCACACAGAACAACTGCTCCTCCACCCGGATACGCACCCGCTCTGGGGGCCCTGCCCGGGAGCCTTCCTCCTCTGGGGTCATCCTCGCCCAGGGGTCAGCGGTTCTTGGGGGTGGGGGAGCAGCCAATGCCCCTCTGTGCTGTGCCCCAGCACAGCCCCCTCCTGCCTCCTTCACCCTTTGATTCCTTTGCTGTGCTGCCCGGCGGCCTTGTAACATAAATACCTTGGTCTAAAGATAGCTGAGCTCGTGACCGGGGCCCTTCAAAGGCATCCGCCAGGCTCAGCTGCCCACCCAAACTCAGGCAGGGCTCCGGCATCACCGACCAGGCCTGGGCATGGCAGAGGTGCCCAGATTATCCCATGGAGTGTGCCCATCCACTCCTGGGAAAACGGGTTTTGCTCTCTCCACATTTGGGCATCCTCGTTCCAATGCCCTAAAGAGACAGTTCCCCATCCCAGGGAGGGCAACATATCTGCACAGCTGGGAAGAACACATTATCACAGTATTCTGTTTTATTTTCCCTTAAAAAGTGGAGTTTACGGCCACAGGGAGGTAAACAACATCAGCAAACCTTGCTGCCATCCAGCCTGGCTGTGGGAAAGGCCTTGCCTGCCACAGGCAGGGAGAGACCTTCCTTTGTGACCCTCCCCAGGCAGGAGGCATCAGCAACCAAGGCAACATTCAGCCCAGGCACAAGGAGCCATAAGCCAGGCTGTGCTTCACGTGGGGATCTCATGGTGAGGAAAATGAAGTGCAGTGACCCTTTTTCAGCAAAAAACTCCCCTCGGGCCTCAGGGCTCACCTACTCCCTGTGATGCTCGTCTGTGGGCAGAGATAAACCCCTGTGACTGACATAGAGGTTGGCAGTGAAGAAAAGTGTCATTTGTGGCACATTGCTCATTTGTGTGCCATTCACACCTTTTCCTGGCTAGAAATCCCATTTCACCTCTGCCATGGGGTGCCGAGGAGAGGGCCAACAAGAGGGCTCACCTGAGGGGCTGCTTCCCAGGTCTCCCCAGCACCACCTGCACCTGGTCTTTAGTTTTGGTGAATAATTTAACCTGAGAAGCCCAACACTGTTGAAGGTCTATTTTTTCTTCCCTCCTTAGCCCCTCATCCCAGCACCCAGGAACTCTCAGGGCAAAGCCACTGCCCCAGGGTCATGGCACCAGCAGGTTCCCCAAAAATCTCAGTTTAGGGGAGAAGGAAAGAGCTTTGCACTCGTGCTGCTGTCATTGATCCTCATGGATACCCAGCCTAAAATACCACATTTAGCTCCGATTGCTTTTAAGTCTCTTCCACCTGTGTCTAAAGGGGGTCTGGGAGCTGGGGGTCCCCAGAGGGGCTCTGCTGCCTGCAGGGGACTGATCCCGGTGATCCCCATCCTCCCCATCCCTGGGTCTTGCAGGGACTTCTACACTCCCAGACTATTTTGGTAGGGTTTAAAAATATCCTGCCTGCATTAATGGGCAATATTCCCAATGGCGCAGCAGCCCTGCATGGACACGGAGCAGCCCTCGCCCCCCAGCCTCGGATATGGCCCCCCCCCCAGAAGCCCCTCAGGGCCGGCCCAGGGGCTGTATCCTGCAGTCCCGGGCACAAAGCCCCATCCCAAATGGCTCTTGATCGCCATGACAACGCTGACTTCAGCCTCTGCCACCTACTCAGGCTCAGAGACACTGGGTGGTGGCTGATGGATTGGTGCGGGCACTGGTGAGTACTCCCCGGGCTCCCTTTTCCCCTTGGGATCGAGTCTTTTGGGTGGGAAAAGGGTACTTTTTTCCCCCCTGCAAAGCCTCTGCTGGCAGCAGAAGGTGCCTGTGCTTAACTGCATCCGAAGGAGCCGGGCAGGTGGTGGGCAGGATGGCTGGACAGGCAGCATCGCTCCGGGGTGCTGCTTCTGCCTGCCGGAGGTGTGATGAGTGCACTGGCCTCGGCCAGGGCAGCGGGACCAGGCTTGGGCTTGCTGGGGACGCATCGAGGAGCTGGGGACACGGCGGAGTGTTGGGGGCTTAGGAAGATGCCGGGACACACCAAGGTGCCGGGACACGGTGCGGTGGCCCGGGGGTCCCTGCCCGAAGCCCCGGCAGCTCGGGGGGCCGGAGTGCCCTGCCGGGGGGACCGTCCTCGGGGTGGCCGGGGCAGCGTGTCCAGCCCCGCGGCGGGGCCGCTTTCCTTACAAGGAGTTTGGCC